TAGAATCCATGTGTTTTTACTGAAATTTTTCGATCTCAATTTTGATATAATATTGATCAATTTCTTTACTGCGGATTTATCTAATTGCCATTGAACTTCTCGATTTTATTTGCGATTTGCTCTTTTAATTCGAAGAAAAACTTGTTGAAAATGGTTGTCTCATTTGGGTAATATAATTGTGAAAAATAAAGTTGCATTTTCTACTTTTTCTCATTGTCCAGGTAAATCTATCTAAGCGTAGAACATTTTGTTTTAATGTGAAAATTGATATCAGCCACGTGAGTATTTCCGTTACGCCGCGTCACTTCAGATCGTCAAAACAAACAAGACGCATATTCGGAAACTATATTGCAAAATGCTAAGATTCATTTTTATCTTTTTTTCCAAACTTTTAGTTTTGCAATTTTTATTCGATCTGCTTGAATTTAATGTATTCTGATTTTATCTAAAAGCAATCAGGTTTTGTCTAAGTTCAGTAAATAGCCTGTTTTTACTTTAATTTACGTTATAAACAATGCATTTTAACTAAATTAATGCTGTGCATTAAAAAGATAGCACGAGGAACCATATAATTTCCTTTTAAATTATACATGTATATATATGCTATCGATTTTTACTATTTCATTAAGCAGAAATAAAGGCGAAAAATAATATCACTTTTCCATGAAAAACAGCATACATATATTTATTAGATATGTAATAAATTGACATAAAACTGATAATCAATATTATACATGTACATGTATATTGTTTGTCGTAAAAGGAAATTTATATAATACATGTAATTTTCTATCGAATGATTTTAAAATAAATAGTTTATGTTAGAAATAGATTCATTAGATTATTAATCGATAAATTGACGTATTTACTGCGATTTATTCTAAAGATTAGTAATAAAAACGGAAATTAAGGCCCGATTTATGGAGATTAAAAACCTATAATATTTGTCGTTATCTCTTTTGATTTTTATCTTGCCTGCAAGATCAGGTTTCTTTTTTCTTTTGCAAAATCAGTCCATATCCCTCTTTCTCTTTTTAACAACACTCTTATCAGAAATCCTTGTTCGGTTTATTTGTGCACATTATATATATTCCGCAAACGGCACAATTTATTGATGCATTCAATTATTGCACTTTTGATAGCTCTCATTATCACTCTTCACCTAAAAAGAAACACGTTTACAAGATGTATCTTTCATTTGTTTAACTTTGATATTTTATCGGATATGCTTTGTTCGTTAAGAGAAGGATAGGGCTTCTTTTTTTAAAAAATTGAAAAGCCAAGAATAGGGATAAACGAGAGTGGCACTTTAATAAAGTATGAGAAAAAATTCAAAGAATTGCGTGCTTTATCTGGATAAAAGATTTAGTTGAGAAATTCATGTACAGAATATTTGATGCATGTACAGTACATCACATCAAAGAAAATCTGATTTTTACATGTATTTTAATTAGCACAGCACCCTAGCATAAATTATATGTTACATGATACTTTCATCAAAAAGGAGCCAGAATATTGTTTATGAGCAATCATTGTTTTCCAAACGAAGATATAATGTCAAGGGGATTTATGTTTCGTATGCGAAATAACCGTTGTTCTTATTTTGCTATTGCTATTCGATAGAATAAACATGTAAAATAATATAAAAGCGAAAGTTGCTATCTCAAGCCATATTTTTCTAAGATAATCTTTAAGACTTTTAGAAATGAAGTGCCAGTGGACGGAAGGGGTAATGAACATAATTTCTCTATTCCAACCTTTTTTAAATACATATACATTATGTTGACTGAATTTTTTTTAGGAAGACAAAGCGCTTTATGAGCTTGTAAATGGGAATCCGGCAGGAAATATTTGGCGACGAGCAGCGGAAATATTGAACAATGGTAAAGACGCTAAACAGTGCCATGATCGGTATGAAATCATTCGCTTGAATACGCTTTGAGAAAAAAGAGTTACTGGAAAAACTAAGCAATATTTTATCATTTAGGTGGAATGAGATACATAATAATACGCAATATATGCAACATTTACGTTCGTTAACATAAACATACGATACAATCTCAAAACGAAATCATTGCGGCATGTCGGCAGAATATTATTGCGACTTAATATTAACAATTCTTTAAGATATGAATTTAAGAGATTAAAATTTTATACTTAAAAACAATATGTTATTTTTACTTAAGATTAATTGCAGACCCTTTAAATTTTATGGAATAATTCGCTATTTTATTATTACATTTTCATTTTATTCTTTCGTGAATTTTAAATTTTTATTTTAATTTTTTATTTTTTAATTTTTATTTTATTTTTTGTTTTTATTTTTTATTTTTATTTTTTATTTTTCACCCTATAATCAATTGTAAATTCCGAGAATGTGGGACTACATGTATATAAATGTACATGTAATTGGATATGCGCAACAGTCGAAATAGATTTATGCTTATCGTTACGTGATATTCATAAAGTTCATAAATGTTCAATGAGATTAAAATCTGGATTGTAAGAAGAACTTCATTAAGAAGTTAAAGAGTTTTGGTGTCTAAAATCATTACCTTGTTGAATATTTTATTTTAATATGTGTTTGAGAGAGATATCATATTCATGTTTACACAAAATATGAGACGAGATTTTCTCGTATGATAGATTTAGTTTTCCTGGTTAAACCTCAATACAGTTGACTCTCTCTAGGTACTCGTTCCCTAAATGCAGATACTATGTTTATTCTCCCAAAGTGCAGATTTTGAAAAATCTTTTTTGGTTCCAAGCATATAATAGTCCTATAAGTATTTGTTCTCCGTCGAAATACACTTAATCTCCTGTAACGATATAATCGAATCCCTAGTAAAAAAAAAACCATCAATATGTTGTTATATCGCGAATTTATTATAAAATGTGTTATATTTGAAATTTTAATTGGCCATCGTTATAATACGGAACGTCGATATGTATCCCTCAAAATTTTCATCGCAAATAAAATACTTTTCACCAAGAAAATGATATTCGTGACGCCAGTGATTTTAGGATAGTCACGTTCTAATTTATTGGTTGTTTAACACATTAACTTATGATTGTATTGATTTTTCCAAAAATGGGATATCTTTGTGTATTGTGTCGCAAAAAAATCTCATTACGTATTTGTTGTGAACATTGTGACAAATTGCTTGATAAAAGGTATTTCCGAACCTGTTAACAATGTATCAATTAAAAGGTCCCCTTAAAACATCCCGACCAAGTTAGCAAAGAAATTATGTCACTCTTTTTGTACTTATATATAACCCGATATTGTCATCGTAACAAGTTAAATGTTATAGGATATTCTTATTTTTATTTTTACTACACATCAAATTACGAATATTATAACAATGTAAGACTGTTAAATAATATTTGGAATACACGAGTTACTTACTAGTCGAAAAGATTTGCCTGTCTGAGCAATATTGGGACAAAGTAATAGTAAAAAATGTCAAGGTTGCATTTTTCTATTACTATTTAACTCTGATGTTCACCAGGTGAAAATAATCTTTGGAGACCAGTCCAGTAAATATTTATATAAAGAATAAGCGCTTCCGAATTTATCAGTTTCAAAAGATTTATCTTTTATTTGCTAAATATACACGGAATATTATAAATTTATCATATATTAGATCGAATCATCACATTTTAACCAATTAACAAGAGAAGAGACATAAAATTAATACGCACAACTTAAATTTACTAATGAAATTTGCTTAATTTCAAAATAAATTCTTAGTTACCAACATTATATTTTCTGATTCGATATACGTAACAAGTGTGTGTCTCTTTCACTATTATGTTTGATCCAAGCACATTTAGTAAGTCATATATTTTACTGGCTCTCTATTAATTATCACTTTCGAGATACCTTAATATAAGATTGAAATTTTTACCATAAAGTATATATATTTAAATATCATTACTTGCGATACATGCTTTATATTATGTAAACGTACGTACAGATAAATTTTAGGTTATCGACAACTACATGTACTTTATTTTATTAATTAACACTTGTGGTATGCTAACAGACTTTTAAAAAGGAAATAAATATACCTGTATCGGTATGCACAAAAATCACAGCTAGCATGTGTAACATAGGTAAACCGTAAATAATCGATTGCCAAGGTTTTTTGGTAGGTAAAGAAATTATACATAATTATCATGTACGACTTGAAGATCCCTTTTAATTTTTTTGATTGTTCTCACAAATTCTTCAATTAAATTCACAAGACAATCAAATCTCATAAACGCTATGAAATGACAAGCAAAACATTAGTACCTCAAGTTTTTGGGGCATCTTTGTTGGAATATTTTCATATTTTCGTTTTAACTTAATGCGCTTCGTAACTTAATAATGAAATTTCATAAGATAAATTAGGAAATGATGCAGAAAGTGTCTTCTTGCATTTTTAATTTAATTTCAAAATGATAAAAGAGTTACGTATCAAATATTTTGGTCATTCAAAAGACTTTGAAGAATAAATCATTTCAAAATTTCTTCTTATTTTGTCATTCGATTTAGTCAAATTCTATGCTGTTCTAATAAAATCTCGACGCGCACGTAGATCTTTTTAAACTCGTGAGCCTTCAGACCACATCTGCGTGAACTAATCTAAATAAGGAACGATTTTTAAAAATTATTTAACGTGGGTGGTCATTTGTGGTGGGTCAATTAGATCCGTTATTTCACGATGACGAGCATATTCGAGAGTTTATCTACTATTGTGGCATCATTCTAGAGCCAAGCTGCTTTTTAACCCTGCTTTCGATCAATATGAACGAATTATATTTTGGGCCTGATTTTTTTAAAGTATCGTTGTACAGTGTATTTTAAATCTTTTTTCGGAAGTTCATACTGTAAATCATGTCAATTCTTTGTACAGTACGCACATATTTGTTGTGCGTGATCCCTATCACACAGAATTGTGCGTGCATATCGTGATGCAAAATTACAAAAATGGATTTATTTCAGAGTTGTAAGAAATGATTAGTCAGTTCAGTCTTACGGTTTTAACCTTTAGAATCAGTTCAAGTCATGACCTTAGAAAGATACTTTTTTGAATTTTCTGCGGGTTACAAAATTCATCATATGCAAGTACAGTTGCCATAAAGTACCAATTTTGTGAGCGAATACGAACGAAGATAACCATCCATTGCTGAAGGGAAAAATCCGAAATATCCTCATCGAGCCTTATGAACCTTGTTTCTTGCGGGTGGCGCTATCTAACGCTATACATCAAAACTCGTCTGCGTGCGTATCATCGAGCAAAGTTTTGTGCGTGTGATGTGCCTAAGATGGAAGAAAGAATAAGAAAGACGACGACTTTTTAGGTTGCGATCTTCCACGAATTCGTGTACGTGAACGGAATATGCATGCACAGCCGCTGACTTGCGTATAGCAAGAACAAGAACCGAGAATTTCCAAATCGAGTGATTGTTTGGGTGTTGATTCATTGGGAATGAATCAAAAGTTGGAATGTATCGGTTGTATGTCATTTACCCCGCAAGGGAGAATATAAAGTGCGATAATCGGTCAGCTGGTAGGATAGTGATGATGGTTTCCCACATGTGCCAGTGACGAGTAAATGTAAAAAATGGGATTATTCTCGTCATATGTAAATATTTACATGTTATTTTTAACCCTATTCTGTATTGGATTCAAAGTAAAGTTAATGTTTTTCGCCTCTATTTTAAACAACGATATTAAACTCTTTTTTGGGAAATAGAGCTGCATGTTTGCTTACACACAAAGCGATACACCTTTTTTACGCACACCATTTTTTGTTACCTCTATGCTCATTGATAAGAAGTGACGCCAATAATGAGACTAATCATTTCATCTGTGTGTGTGTGGTACACGATACCAAAAGCAAATCGAATACGTATTAAGAATAATACATGTATCGATATATACATGTACACATTTAGGTGTACAATCTGGGTAGTGTAATGAGCTAATTTTTGTGCAAACCAAACCCTATTATCTTGCCTAATGATAAAATGGCAGAAAATTAGAAATCACTCGACTATGAAAAAATCGTCGATTTTAACCATTCACACACACACACACAAAGAGTTATTGCGCTTCATTCGTCATCGATTGTATCGGAATAAGAAAACATCGCCTCCTTTTCCTCGCGCGTAAAAGTTCCATATAATACTCCCGTGAAGACATCATCATATAAAGAAACCGATAAAGGAAAGGTTTGCGTCAGTAACTTTTTGATTCTGACCCAAACATTCAATCTTTGGAAAAAATTTAAAATTTTGATTTACATTCGTAATCCCAAATTTGGAATCTACCCCCGACTAAAGAGAAAAATGAACTATAGAACCAAAAAAAAAGTTTTGGAATGTGTATCAACAAATAGACAAATAAATAAGCCCATCATTCATTTGATGATTGTATCACTTTGATTGCGCATACATAACGTTAAATAAAGTAAAATAAGAATTTCAAATAAAAAATAAAAAAAATATGATAATGGTGTGGTGATATAATAAAAAAGAACACCTCACGATCGTCAAAACTTTCTTTTCTTTTGGGTATGCTGATAATACATGTATTCAATATAACCATTCATCTTCATCCATTTATTTTATTTCACTGATACGTCCTTTTCCTCTTTTACGCATTTCATTATTATATATATATTTTTTTATTATTATTAACTTTATTATTAAAGGGTCGCGAATTATTCCTTTTAGTTTTTCTGGTAGCCATGCTTTTTTTTTTAGTTGAAAAGAGTTAGGATTAGAATGAGCGTGTGTTTAAAAAAATAAAAAAATATTTACATTATTCTTATTTAAAAATTTTTTCAGCATACTTGATAACTGTTCCTGTTTTGAATATCAAAAAAATCCCCCAGCAATAAAATGAGCAGTGATACACCGACATCAGATTTCGAGTACGAGGAAATTCCAAATAAAGTGATAATAGCAAAGACACAGGAGGTAAGTATCGAACCCTAAACAGAAAAACCAAATATTTTATTCCTTAAAGAAGAAAAATTGCATGTAATGACCATTCAAGCTCAGTCCCGATAAATATCTGAAGTGACTTGATTTATGTATAAATTATAATTCATAAACCTTAGGTTTGCCAAGCCTATCAGGTAGCGGGCGAAGCATATAAACAAGCGAGTGAAGCGTTACGAAATGCTGCTCAAAAAGTAGAAGAGTTGCGCCAATTATTGCCAGAGGACATGTGCATCCAATTACCTTCAGATTTCTTATCCGAATTTCCGACAAGAATCTCATCAGCTTCCATCTCTTCATCATCCCTTTTTCAACCAATAGTCTTGCCAGATCTTTATGGTGGTGTTAAGGAAAAGATCTCAAAGAAAAAATCGAATAAGAAGTCAAAGAAACGAGTGAGACATAGTCGACGTAGAAAAAAGCCAAGAAAAATGTCTGATGAGGAGGATGAAGAGGAGGAGGATGAACTGATTGGGGATATTGAAGAAATGAAATGTGATAGTAATAGTGATGTCCTTGCGCCTATTGAAGATGGAAAAAACGAAAACCAACTAAAGAAAGTTTCATCAAATTCTGCGATAAGAGATCGACCAAGACCAGTGCAGGAAATTGAGAATAATAAAGAATTTAATACTGAAATAGAGAATGAAAATCCAATTGAGATTAGAATGCACAAATTTAATAGTAAAAATACAAATGATGTAAATCGAAATCTTAAAAAGTCTGTAGAGGGGTTCCGGAATATCGAGCACACCTCCAAAATCACTCTACCAAGTATCCAATCGATTGGAACAAATCCAATTATAACAGCACAACCAGCATTGCATCATCAAAGCCTTAGATCAAAAAATTCTTCAATCCCATCTCTATCATTGGAAATACCATACAAACCCAGCCAATTACCAAAGAATTCAGCTGTCCAAGAAATGACACAACAATTTCGATATTCAGGGCTGCTAAACGAGCATGATAGAAAGAACGATCGATCAGTAAATTCAAGTAATCCTTCGATGACTTCAAATCAGTCACATTTGTTTAATAGTGATCCCCGACCAACAAGATCTTCAAATAATCATGGCAAAATGGTGGCATCTAAGTCATCACCCTCCGCTTATTTAATCTCTGATCAATTAAGTGAACAACAAGATAATAATCACAATAAAAATAATAATACTCCGATATTAAAACCTAAACCACGATACCAACCATATCGAAATCGGTCAACACCAACCATTAACACCGAATCAAGTAATAAATTTCATAAGAAAAACATAAGTGATAACAGTCCATCAGGTTTTCCACACTATCCTCACAACATATTCAATAGCGAACATTCACCAATTCGAACTACTCAACAACATACCCCTGAAACATCCACCACCACAAGCCCAACAACACCCAATACTGCTGTATCGGTTCAACAATCAACAATTCACAGTTTCTTCTTGGATGGAATTCCGCATCAAAGCGTACCCGCATCAAATTGGTTTAATGAAGTGACAAAACATACATACACCCCACAACCATTATCTGCGGAAGAGAGCGAACTTGTTGAAGATTTCATAAAATATGCAGGGCCACGATTAAAAGATCCAACGTGCACACAAGCAGTAATAGCACAAGAGATTATCGATCTATCGAATAATACTTGCAAAATGGCACAAGCCTCAGTTTCAACCATGATGAGACGCATCTCTGTTCCCAAGCATCCAGCTATGCGTAGAGCCATCCAATCGTGGATTGAGAATGAACGAAAAAAATCAGAAAAAGTTCACATGTATGTATAGAAAAAATATCCATTTTTCGTTTCGATTACATTAAATTCGCATCATATTCATTTATTTATTATCATCAAGGTAAATATTTAAAACTCGCGTAAATATTCAATCCTTCTTTTTTTTTATGCCAAACAAAACCTTTTCATCATCCATAATCCTGATCTTAAAATGTAAATTAGATAATCTTATAGTATAAAAAATAAAATAATTCTATATATATTATATATACTATGCAACCTGGAACCTTTTGCACGCGAATTAAGAGTTTAATTTAGTTAGGTTTGATTTTCATTTGTAAATTTTATTGTACATTCCTTTCTGTGCATTCTTTTCTGTACATTTGAATGGAATTTCCTAAATCATCGGAAATAGTGTGAAAAAAATTCCGTCTCTATGAAATTATAAGGTCTATAGTAGTAAATAAACACCGTGTTTTGTAACATTTTTTTTTGAGTTCTAACCATAAATAAGTTTTGTGGCTGTTGGGTTATCGTTATCGTTATACTTTCCGCCAAATGTAAATATTAATATCGGTATCTTATATATCAAGCTTTACTTTGTGTAATTCAAACATTGCTAATGGATACCGATACGTATATTTCGGATAGTGTTGCACGTCATTCACCGATTATAATCTCATTCATGATTTTAGGAGTATAAGATCTCGAAAAAAAGAATGCTTTTGAGATAATGCATTGATTTTGGAAAAGATCATAAGCAGTGAAAATATCGATATGTCAGCTCATGTTATTCATAAAGTATCCCCTCCCGGGTTAAACTTTAAATAGTGTGTATTTTTCCGCACTGAATAGGGACAAATTCGCAGTAGTTTAGTTCTTTTGCTAAATTTAGTACAAATTTATTTCTACTGAGGTAACTGTTCTGATAATAATGCAACTTTTGAAATAAATACTGCAGATAATTGAGGCACTTCTTTAATTACATATAGTTTTCGGTAAAATAAACCTTCGCCCGTTTAAATTTTTTGAGTCCATATATATATATATATTCTTTCTTGAAACGATTTCATCTTTATAAAAACTTTTGAGAAGAAATTATCTTGGATGATTGATTTGATTAGTTTCTCTTTAGAAATTTTTTCGAGCGGAGTGCGAACAAGATAAAAAACATTTTTGATTAGATAAAAATATAATTTTATCAATTATTAAAAGTTCGCTCATATTAGATAAGTAAAAATTATAGGTAATTAGATATTACTATACTATAAAGGGGAGAGAGGAGAAAGTCACCAAATCAATACTCGATTCGAAACAGACAAGGTAATTGATATTTCGCATAAATATAACCCTCATTTGAAGATTTGCGGTACATCCGAATAGCCTGATGCAAATCCCTATTAACCCCAACTCCTTTTTGATAGCATTCTGCCATATTATAATGACCACCATAGTGTCCAGCGGCAGCAGCTCTTTTAAAATATAAATACCCACGCCATTCATCTTTTATTCGTACCCCCTTCCCAGTCGTATAAAAATACCCGAGTAAATCTAATGCATTTGAACATCCGTTTTCCGCCGACTTATTCAACCAGTAATCAGCAGCATCCCAATCAGTCGGCGTACCATCCCCATAAGCCAAACAAGATCCATAATTAAACTGTCCCATCGCCGACCCGCCATGTGCCGCTTTACGATACCAATGCACCGCCAAATCATTATTTTGTTTCACACCTCTTCCCATCCCATAACACGCTCCCAACTCGTTCTGTCCCAATGCGTCACCGTTCTCTGCAGCTTTTTTATACCAAAGGAATGATTTTTTCGGATCGATCGCAGTTCCGATGCCCCAGTAGTACATAAACGCCAGGAGACTATGAAAGTTTGTGTTGTGCCGGTGTTCTTGAATGTGGAGGAATAGTAGGATCTCATGATACTTGATTTCGCGAATGTAATTCAGCATTTCTTGGAGGATTTCTTTGTCGTCTCGGCATTGTTGGTGTTGTGATATGAATATTTTTAGGATCTCCTGGACGAATCGGGATTCGTCAGTTGTTGTGAATTTAAACAGAGATTCTTGGATGTCGTCGACTTTTGGGTCTTTTGACGCTGTATCAATCATGTTGTCGATTGATATTTTAAACATGTATTGTATTCGCTATTTTACGTATCTTCCTATTTACTTGCTTGGTTATTTATTTAGACAATTTTTTATGCAATATTTTGCTTTGTTTGTATTTTTGAAAATATAAAAAGATAAGATATGGTGAGTAAAATATATTCCTTTCCCACTTTAGGGAATCAGTGGTTCTTATACATGTATCACAGGACTAACGCTAATTCTGCAAACTCCGAACTTTTATTTTATGCAAGCCTGATTTTAAAGCCGGATCAAGTGTTAATAATTGGATCGGAATTATCAGATGATAAACGATAAATTTTCAGGAAATTCTACTACATGTAATTGCGATTGTTTGCCAGGATACATGTACTTACATTCAAACTATGAATCTTTAAAAAACATGCGAGATTAAATTAAGTTAGCACGTACATCTGTATTACAAATTATATCACAGATGCATGTTGTGTAATGAAGCTTTTATATTTTCGGAATACGGATTTTCCGCATTTAACATAAATTTCAAACGACTATGACTACGTACAGTCAAAGTTGGTTATAACGATAACGATTATGATACTTCTCTATGAACGAGACCTTTATATTGTGTAACAATTACCTATTTTACACATGTATCCGCTTTTTAAAGTAGATGTAAAACTTTTCATTATAATAATATTTTTGTGTGTAGCGAGCAGATCAATATGACTAGTTTTTCAAGGATACATTCTATATCATCCCTTTTGCTTACGTGTTCATTCTAATTAGGTCTGGGCATAAAGGCTAGGAAATAATAATAGAAACAAATATTGTGATCATGAGAATCGTACGTTCCATTTTTGAAGACGAAACTTTGTGCTTCATTGTTCCATGTGCTTTGCCGTCGATTTTTGAAGAATTGCGTGATGAGGATGAAAAATTAGAGAGCTAATAAAAGAAAAATTCGACTATGCTCATTGTCGCTCGTTCAGATTATCAACAAATCAAATATTGGGTTGGGGTGTTTTTAGATGATTGGTTAAAATATTGATAACTATAAAAAGGGGAATTTGCGCGCTTGTTGCACAAACACGAAACAACAAAATCTTCGAATTATATGCAAGACATTTATATAAATGTTAGTGTATAAACGACTATCGTGGATTGCATTTTCAATATAAATTCCTATTTCTTGGTTAACCCATTACAAACAACAAGTAACAATACAGTATAAAATATTAATCATCATAAATCGACAATGACACCGAAGATATTGCATGTATATAGCAATATTATTTTGTCCTTATACCGGTTGCTTAGTTCTTGTTACAATCAATTAATAAATAGTTCTCTTTTGAAATTCATTTTATCTCATGTCAAGAAACTATAGAAACAACAAAATCATCAATCACCACAAATAACAACGATTTTATTATTGTATCTACATCATTACTGGATCCACGACAAACACTGCGAAAATAAAAACGGCGAGTCTCGGCGAGGATAACGGAAAAATCATGTCACAAATTTGTTGTGTAAAATCATTTTTTAATCACCCCTTTATGTGAGGTTAAAATTTACGGGAACTAGAGTTCTTGATACCGGGTAAAGTTTTTAATTATTCTGCAACTACGATAAAGATGAATTAGGATGATTAAACCAGATTTGACTTATAAGATATGAATCAATACCGGCAGGATTCCTCGAGCATGATATTCATGATGAATTACCATTTCCCGCAGTCACTTTCGATTATGTATTTCAATGTACACGTAATATGTTGACCGCGGACACAAACGCTAATTGGTTGAATAGTATCAAAGAGCTAACAAGAGTTACGGAACAGAATGGTTTATAGACCGGTGTCTCGAAAAATTAATAGTGCCAGTTTATAAACGAAAGTAAGTAATGATCTGATCTGAAGCGAGAATTCTTTAGGAAAAATAAGTTTAATAATTTACATTCTCTTTTCCGAAAGTCAAACAGTTTTTCGTATCAAAGGCGTAAGTTTATTTCTAAGCAATAATTTAGAGAGTATCACAAATTTCGCGCATAAGCACATAAAGATGGCAGTTGGCGGCTAGGAGGTAAAGATGGAGGTCAATTGTTTATAATCATTAAAATTAATTCAAATTCGAGTAATTAATTGTGCATGATTGTCTATTTCAAGCCATCATAAGACAAATTATCAATGGAACAAAGGAATTTGTCAATGCGCTATTTGAACTATTTGTGCAACAAACCTTATTAATTGGCACGACTTTAAAACCATTAACCATCGAAAAATTGGTGGAATTAAATAGGTGTTTATTAGAGTAAGTAGAAGGACAATAATCAACTTATGTAAGAAGACTACCGCAGAAGAAAAAAAAGAAACTCTCGTTTTGGATTGACAATAACGAATGTGAATCATTACTACAAGATTACAATCTTGTAATAATGAGGCGTATATAACGAACAGTATAAGTCATAGGATATATGTGCATAAAGGTCCTTCTCTGCATCGTGCAACTACCTATTAACTATTACAGTTTTTATATAGCTTTTAAACTAATTAATCTTTAATTAACATGTGATTTGTAACTTATTAGATATATAAGTTTTTAGGCTTATATAGATAAGAAAAATATTTATCCTGTACTGTGCTGTATTGTTTTATCCACATCTTTTACAGGTCAGAATATGTATGGGTGGGATAGCTACATCAAAAACGGTGTTACATGAAATGCACAATCAGGGAAAATTTATGTACATGTACATGAAGAAAAATTTGCTCATTATTCTTATTAAGTATGAAAAATCGTTAGGCATGGATTCCGGTAATTGATTATTTTAATATGACATTACTGGTTTGGTACTGTGCCGTATTGAACCAAATGTCTAATCAATAACGCACCGAAAAAATTTGGAGAAAATCACGTGGGTTTTATTTACGATCGAATCAAAAAAAAGAGCCTTACACAAGAAAAATACGTAGAATAGGTGGCGAAACATTATATAAAATTCATTTTAATTTAAATAATTTTATTGAAGCACTTTTACTGATTTATTTCTTTCAGTTCGAAGAAATAAATAATCAATTTCATTTTTAATTGGTCGCTTTTTTTAGCCAAATTCTATGAGCCTTAAATAGGAATACTATATTTATCAAATCAATAATGGATGAATGGTCTAACGCTAACTAGACTTAAGAGATTTCAGTCAATTCTTTTTTGTGTTAATAGAATGGAAAAGAGAATTGAATGCCGCATCTTTGTGTATTCAGCAAACTTGAACCCAATGTTCCAACAATTAAGCAATTATTACATATACATATAGCATGCACATAAAACATCGATTAATGAATAAATAAGGGTATTATTTTGGAACCGGTTATGCATCGCCGGGAAAATGTACAACGTTGAAACTTGCACCTTAAAGAGTTTGCACACATAGATCAACTGTGTTTCACAATGGAAAAAAAAATTATTAAAGATTGCTGTTCGAAACATTTTCTTTTAAACAATGACATAAAGTGAAAATGAAAGTTTCCAGATAAGAAATAAAAACGTAATAACTAATCCGTGATAATAGATATTTTACTTGAATTCTTGCAATTTTTGAGAGCTACTTTGTATGTAATATAGACTATTGATTTCTCGATTTATTTTGGAAGTTGAGTAGCTAATAGAAACTTCCGTACCTATCCTTGTATTACTTTTGTGTTTTTAAATTTTAAATTTACTTTCAATAAAAGGGTTTGTGCTTGTCAAATTGTCATATACCCTGTATATCTCAGAAAAACGGTCACCCGAATTAAGCCACTCCCTACTTTCTAGCCCAAAATCAGGTGGAAAAAGAATATGTAAGCTTAATAAATTGAACCCCAAAAAATAAGCCATTCCCTCTCTTTAACCTCCAAAATCGTGTAAGAAAAAGGTAATTTATTTTCTGAGATATGCGGTATATAAAAAGTTATCGATGCTTTTTTAAACTTTTGCCACCTTAAATTTGAAAATGTCCCGCGGAAGAAATAAATGGACATGCGAGGTAAAAATAAAGTGTATTTATTTCAAGTATAAACCTTGTTATATTCTTACTTATTCTTGAAATCTCACTGTAGGATGACCAAAAATTACGAACGCTCTTTAAAACATATCAAGGTCAGCAAAAATTATGGCAGCTTATTAGTAATTGGTTTCCAAAACGAAATTCTAAATCTTGTCGTGAGAGGTAGTGTTAATAAATCATATAAGAAGCGCATTTTTAATTGTTGTTATATTCTTACTTTTTTATTTATTTTATTTTGAAAAGATGGACTTTTCATGTGAATCCAGAAAGTAAGAAAACGATAATAACATTTTTTCGAAAGAAACATAAGTTTCACATCTTTCATTTTTTTGATAGTAAATCATTTACCATTTGCACATGACGAACAAAAATACATACTATCTCGAGTGAAACAACCTGGAACTACAGATTGGGTAGCAATAGCGGAAGGAATATCGCGTCCATATGCACGGAGGACAGCATTACAATGCAAAAATTTTGTGAATAATCGTCAACGACGAATAAACGGTGAAGTTGAAAAACTTACAGATCAATATAAAAAGTCTGGTGATCGAATGAATTTAGGATTTATTTTGAATTAGAGTTTGATTTGGCTTCCTGGAGGAAAATTCAAGATGCGTATAAAGTTTTCTGTTAGAAGTCTTGATTATAATTATATTTTTATGCTTTAAATGCCTTCATCTACGAACCTTTTTCATATGATTATCAGATAATTTCAAAAATTCATTATTGATAATAAGAGCATACATAACGTGTGCTTTTAGCGCTAGCGTAGTTTATGACATTTTAAGATTCATTTCCCTTAAATCATCGCTTTTTTCAATATTTAAATTTAATCTTACTTTCCTATTCTGATAAACGTTTTATGCTTTATTTTCTTTTCTTTCCATTTGCTTAGTTGATTTCTTTCACATAAGCTTCACTACCAATTATCAATTGTTTGAAAGAAATGCAGAAAGGTGTGGGTCGAATGGAAATAAACACACTTGGGTTTAGACAAGTCAAAAGAATTAGCGGGCTTGATCGTTTGTTCATCTCGAGATTGATCACGTAACACGTGTACATGTACATCAATTTTACTGTACCAAATTTCCTAATTTGGTTTTTGAATTTCATTAGAATCAGAATAAGGGTATTTGATGACAATTTATGCATCAGATTTCTCATACTTTTTTAATCTCTTTGAGTCGGATTTGTTTGTTGTTTATGCATTCTTATTTGTGATTGAAAAATTTGCGCACTCCTAGTCCCGGATTTTCGGACTTCCCGGATAATGATACCTGAAACTATTTTCATGAGGACGAAACGTTTCGTCAGACGAAACCTGTGACGACTGACTAAACTGGGATTTTCTACTGTAGAAAAGGCAATACCGATACCGCAAACTACATAAGCTTTTAATAAAGACCATGTTTAGAGCTTTTTCGTTCTTCAAATAAAATAAAAATTCCTCTTGATTGAGGTGGGAAAATTTAGATTTTTATTGTGATAGATTAAAATGAAATTATCTACAATAAATATTAAATAATTACTATATATGTAATATATAAAATCTGCTATTAATTATAAGAAATTATGATAATTTTGGCCAAATTATCTACATGATTTGAATAATTTTGGTCAAAAAATTTCATTTTAATATGCGACATTTACTACCCTCTACATGTTGATTTCATTCACGTCTAGTTTAATTGTCATGTGCAGTCGCCACAAAAGTAACGCCCGATTTGCATGTGTAACAACATAGGTAAATATATGCGTCGCGTTTTCCCATTTTTTGTTATTGTTGACCCTAATTTTTTATTATTTTCTTCTTTTACTTTTAAACAATACACTAGATGAAATTTTTTAGGTGTAAATATGTACCAGTAGGCCATCTTTGACAAGGATAAAAATAGTGATTTTTATGAAGTTATGAGTGTCAAGCAAGTTGCAAGAAAAATGTGGCGTAACCCGGTTAGAGTATAATGGTCTCTTGTCAAGTACAAAAGAAACAGGAAAAACAAAAATTTACCACTGTCTGAGAGAATAAGCTCATAACCATCAAGAAAAAAAATGCATATGCGCAAGAAACTAAAAAAGACATCCTGAGCCATTTCATGACATTGGTAATAAAAAATCTATGCAAAAACTTACCTGAACATTGTAGCTTGCTTGACGCTGATTTACTCTATTTGAATTTATTCCCTAATGTAGTTCAAGTTTTATTTTTTTTTTGAATATCATGTTCTCTCAAATCAAAAAAATGTGTTGTAACCTGATGATAGTGTAATGGTCTCTTGCCAAGTACAAACGAGATAGGAAAACAAAAATTTATCACTGTCTGGGAGACCATAGGCTTTGAAAAAAAAAATGCACCTATACAAGAAGCAAAAAGACATCCCGAGCCATTTCACAACATTGATAATAAAAAAATTTGTGCAAAAGCTTATCTAAAGATTCTCTAAGGTAATTCGGTCCCTTTTCATAATATAATTTGTTCATTGATTTGAGAGAACATGATGTTTCAAAAAAATAAAACTTGATCAACATTAGGGAAAGAAGCCATGAATAGAATCAAATAGAGAAATCAATGAATATTGTGTTCTCATGATCCAAACTTCATAGAAATGTCTCCAATTCATTGGGGAACAATATTCTAAAGTGTAAAAGCTTCTCAAGGATCGCGTAAAGCTCAAGACTACTCTGAAGGAAATTCGATGTGTTGGCTTTTGAGGAGGCTGTAGGCTGAATGTCTTGAGAAATCAAAGCAATATTAGTGCCATATGAAAAGTTAATAATGTATTAGCAAGTGATAAAAAAATAATTTTATATTCAAAAGACAGAAATAAAATAAATCCGAAATTTTATTTTTTAAAAAAATCGGGCGTTACTTTTCGTGGCATAAAGTTACAAAAATCATTTGTCAAATAATTAATTCGCCACCGATATTTTCTTAACGAAAGGTTTCATCAAGTATAACAATGTTAAGAGCATATTGAATCGACTATTTAGCTCTAAATTAGCTTATGTAAGTAATTTGTTACATAAAAGAAACGATATTCATAGCATTTATCAATGGTCGTCAATCGTCAATTCGTCAAAAAAAAAATTACTTGACGAAAGATTATCCCGGATTGTACGTACGATATTCTTCAACTACTACGTGAATTTGCTCTCAAACGCATGAATTTTATACGTTTCACTTCGAAAAATCTGTTTTCAGCTAATCAGTGGATCTCGGGGAAAGCTGTCAAATTTTACAATCGAAAATTCTCATTTTTGATCTCAAAGTTTGCTTTTTACACATTTTTCAACTCGTGCGTTGGTTATTGAGTTGTTGTTCCCATGCTTTGGCTCGGTTGTTGTGTCTGCTGGGTTGGTTGTTGCGTTACATCTGGTGTACTTGGTCTGCTCGGTTGGGGTGGTGTTGATATTGAGAATTCGGGGAGTCTTAATTATTGATCATTTTTAATCTAAACAATGCATTTGATGCAAGAAGACGACATGTATTTCCCATTAAAGAGTTGAAAGGATAAATATAATAAAATGTAATGTTTAAAAGTAAATATTAAATGTAAATTAGATTAATAATATTAAAAAAAGGAAATATAAATGACGATGTATTATTATAATAATTGTCCAATAATAAAGTGTATATGTAATGCAAATGAAAAAATAATCTATAAATGAAATATAAATAATATTACTAATAATGTAATGTCTATTAAGTGTCTAAAATTAAAAAGGCATATGTAAATGAAAAATTAAAAAAGCTTATGAGGTGAAAGACCAAAATGTAAAGCTGTATAACTTATACATATCGTCGTCGTCATCGTCGCATTGGTTTAGAAACCTCGTGTAAAGAATTATATCTTAATATCTGGATGAGGCATAATTTTCGGTTTTAGGAGCATATGTTGCCTGCACATAGCTCCGCGCTATATAATGTTAAGAACTTTGAGACAAAGAATTTATGTAAGCGATATTGTCTCGAATTTGACACCACCTAAAGTAAAAATTGTTTCTATTAGTTGTGAATAATTTTGAACCAACGTGTTCAGGAAACTAAACGAACCGTCTATAACAGTGGCGTTGGTCTCTTCCGCTGTTCAAGCACTCAGCAACCTTTCTCCAGTCTATTTTTTGTTCGTATTTTCTGATATTTTTAATAAGGCTCTCATCTTCCTGGAAGATTTTTAGTTTAATAAAAAGCATACATGTTAGAGAAAAAAGCATGCTATTACAAAATATTGAAAATGAGAAAATTCAATAAGATTCGTTACCACTTTGGTCCAACGCGTGTGCATTTTTGCGGAAAGATTCAAAAATGAAAAAGGAGTTACTTTATATTGAAATAATTAATAATGCCACATAATTTGTGCATTAACAATTATAAAGAAAAACTTAAATGTTCCCACGCGAAATTATTTTTTTAATTTAATATCGATACATATGTAATGTCCATTATCACATTGTATTTTCATTGCTAAATTCGGGCATAACCCCTGAGTAAATATTATTTTGCTTTATATCTTTTGAAATAAAACGAATCAAAACACGGTTTATAAATAGTTCAATGATTACGATAAATTTATAAGATGTTACTATGTCTTTTTAAGGAGAACAGTAATTTAAGTCGTTAATATGTGATCGTTTATTTAAACAATATTTATAAGTATGCTTATTGTCTTTAAAAAAAGTGTACGAGTAATAGATGCATTAATAAAAATTAATACCGTAATGTTATCGTTATATTCTCCTTCATATCCGAACCATGCATGCCCCTGTATACTTACAGAATGCTTTGTTGTTTAAATTCGGAAATAAAACAATATCAGTTAATGATAAGCAAGCTATGAACATAGTAGTAGTATTATTATTATTATTATTATTTATATCAGCTAACTATTAGTAGCTTGATAATTCTATAAACATAGTAGTAGTAGTAGTAGTAGTAGTAGTAGTAGTAGTATTATTATTATTATTATTATTATTATTATTATTATTATTATTTCATATTTAATGTTATGATATTAATTTTTTTCTGATTAAATCGAAAGTCATACAAAAAGAAATTTATACGCGCGATCCTAGAACACGTCAATAATCAATTGTTACATAAGATCTTTGAGATTAATTGGTGCAATATCGATATGTTTTGACCACTAGCGAGCTAGGCGGAGAAATTATTCCATCAGTAATACAGAAAAGCTTTATCATCCCGAAATCCGAATCAAAAACAAAAAACTCTATAGAAGTTCGATGACATGTAATAATTATTCAATTAAATTTAAAGTTTTACCAAGAATATATTTATAATAATACACAGTGACTCGGATGGGTTCAAAATCCGTTATATCATGAGTTTATTAGTATATCAGTTAGATCGAGCGAAATATATTATGGCTGTTTTAAACCTCTGTCCGTTATATCGAGGTTTTAATTAGTCTCCGCTATATCGAGAGTCACTGTGTATACTTTCTTCAATAAGGGTGCCTTATTTCCACTATGGATATTTGCTGTTTCCACCATGGATTTTGTCACATGGTATGAAATTGCCAGATGTTTACAATCCTCTTGGGGTTTGCAATTTTTTTATGTATGGTCTCTGGGATTAGCATCTCGAGACCCAGTGGCGAGAATTGAGTTTAAGGCATACCATTCGATTCCCTATGTTCTGATGAATCGAATTCTAGATTCCGAGCCCAAAGATGCGAGACATGAAATTATTCATGGTGAAAATAGCAAAAGCACCATAATCGTAGAACAACCCGCAATTATTTATCACGTGACACAATCTATGATGGAAATACATGTAGCAAATATCTTACTTATGTAATAAGTAACTTTTCATTATCAACTAGATTTTTAATCAATTTTTTATTAAAATATCAAAAATTCAACTATAGCATAGATATTTCTATAATTATCCGAATAATTAAAAATTGTATAGAGTAATCTTTACAACTTATAACCTCTCATATTAAATATAAATCATGGAGTTATAAAAATATATTTGTATTATATAACAAGACAATAACTATTTCTTTATAGACATTCTCTTTATTATATTATATAAAAATTATAGCCATTTTTATACATGAATATAATATTAAAATTATATATAAATAATTCAAAATGATTTAAAATAATTAATATGATCTGGTGCAAAAAGATTGATATATCAATATAAAATTAATAATTGCTTCTAATAAACTCATTCAAATTTTAATTAATCTCTATAATTTTTTATATTAAATAAAAAATGAGCTAAATTAATATTTTATACTATTTTAATAATTCTATTATATTTAATTTAATAATAAATAAAGTATTATAATTAATATTCTTTACAATAATATTCTTTACAGTATATTTTGATATAATAATACTATCAGACTGATACCAAATTTATTCTAATAAAAATCACTGATTATAGTAATACACCTATAACAAACTTATTATAATAATTATAATATCAATATACTATTCCAATTTATAATTTATTAACTTACTGAGTATAATAATATTGCAAAAATTGAAATATAAATATATAATATTTACAGAAAGTATTATTCAATTTATATATATAATCATTTTTTAAAAATATATTTTATTAAGTTTTCTCTTTTTTTTAATAATAAATATAACTTTATTTATCTTTTATTACTTTGTTAATATTATAATTTTGTTAGATTAAAAAATGATATTCATTTATATATAGCTTAATGAAATTGAAAAGAAAAAGATTTTGATATATATAGATATTATAAATATTACTTAAATTATAAAAATACTTAAATATAATTCTATAATAGTATATTAATTTCTAAATAAATATAAATAAATCAGAAAAATAAAAACTTATCATATTTAGAAAGATTACTAGTCTTAAATAATTATAAAAAAAATTTACTTATATATAAAACTAGCAAAAATAGTATATATTATTAATTAATAATTTAGATTTCACTTATAATTTATCAATTATTATATATATATTATATAATTTTGAAATTTACTTATATATCATAGCAAAGAAATCTTATATTTCAGAAATATATATATATACTTCTATTAAATAATATAAAAAAATAAAAATAAATCTGTTTATAATTGATTAAAAATAATTTTTTCTAATAAAATTAGTATAAAAATTGAAAAATAGTCATAATAATCAAGAGTTTGATAATATTTTAAGAAAAGTTTAATATTAATTATTTGATATTTATTTTTAAAAATGAATAAAAATTAGTAATACTTACTAAAATCTCTAGTTTTTTAATAATAATAATATCAAATTTATTCTTAAATAAATAATAACTTAATATTTTAAAATAATAATAATTACTAAAAAATTTCTTGAGATTAAGATTAGTATTTATATAAATTAATTAAATATATCAAGTATTATAAATAAGTTTATATAAGATAATTTTATAAATACTATTAATAAAAATAAAAATTAATAAAAATTAATAAAAATTAGTATGAATATAAGATTAAAATATGAAATAAAATTTTTAATATTCTTAAAATAATAAGAAGAAAGAATAAATAAAAAAAATATAATTAGTTTTAAAAAGATATTAATAATTATAGATAAATTAATTCTTGATATAAAATAATAGATAAAAGTTATTAATTTTTTTAATTATATAATATATTATATAATAAAATTAAGTATATTAATATTTTTACTTTATTTATATATAATATTATTAAATTTATAAAGTAATATTTAAATATATTAAGATGAAAATTCTAGTTTTAATTATATTATTATAAAAAATATTAATTATACTTTATTACTAATTATAATTAATAAAATATATATTTTTTTATATATAAAAGTTTTTAATTTTACTAACAAATATATTTTATTTTTAGCTCAAAAAATAGCTAAAGTTCTTTAATTTAATACATATTTTATATATGAAGTTAATTAATTTTTATTAATTATTAATTAATAAAAATTAATTGACTTTATATATAATTAGAACAAG